TTGTTGTTTTTATGTTCAACTATTACTTGGAGTCCTGGGATAATTTCATTTTTATATTCTTTTCTATTATATGTTTGGGTATGGTGTGTTTTGGGTCATCGTGAGAATTCCCTTCTTCATTCATATTGGATACTTTGGATTCTTTTTTTTATTTTTCTTTGTTTTATAAATAATTCTTTGTCGACTCGGCAAACTAATTTCCCACCCTCAACACTCGTCTGATCGATCAATATCCCCCGACCCGCATATCGTCCAAGAGAATGGAGAAGGAGGGAGGGAGGAATGAAGGCATGAAGCCAGGTAGAAAGGGGCACGGCGAGTGCGCGCATGTCGTTTCCAGTCACGATTAGCCGCTCTCTTCTTTTGTTGTCATTGTTGGTGTGCTCGCATGTGCGAAGAGGCCCTGGGAACCAACAGAGGTGGTCAAATCTTAAAGAAACCTCCCAAAGCAATTTTCGCATTTGTGTCTGTTTCTTTTCTTTTCTTGGTATTAATTGCCTTTTTTTGTCCTCTTTCTCTTCGCTTGGACTCCCTCTTCTTCCTGTATTAACTATTCGTACCTCTCCTTGGTTTTTGCCTTTTTTATTTCATTTTGTTGTCTTCCTCAGTCGTCCAGCCTCTGGCGGAAAAATGCCCACCTTTTCTTCTCTTTCTGCCCCTGCTTTCCCTGAGTTTCTAATACATCCCCGGTTTTGAGCCATGGTTTTCCATTACACGTCGTTTCCTTTTTCTCATCCTATCATTCCCCTATATTCTCCTTATATATATTCCTGTATGTTTTTTCTATTTTCAATTTTCTTTTTCATTTTTCCATTTGTCATGTTTCCGGGTGCTGGTCACGAACGACATGATAATTTATTTCAAACAATTTTCAAATATCCTTCTTTGTCCCAGCCCCTTTTCTTTGGCTTCTATATATCCACATTCCTCCCAATCCACGCATGTGTTATATCAAATATCAGTTATTACTTGTATCACCTCCTTTTTCTTGATGTATTTTCCTCTTTTCCATTTTCCATTACCCTTTCCATGTTTCTCAATCATCGTGTCTTAGCGTAATCCGCTCACATTATATAAAGCATAACAAAAAAATAAAGGAGATGAATATTACGGCAATGGATTCTTTCAATTTCCTCTTCACTTGCCTATGAGAGGATCTGCAAGGGCTCAAGAAAAAAAAATCAGAAGAAAAGAGAGGGGAGGGATGGAAGTGAGACTTTCTTTTGTTTTAAAATTTCCTTTTTTTCCTTTTTTTTTCTCCCTTTTGACTTCTCTGCTAGATAATGTCTTGCCAGCTTTGGAAAGGAAATACAAATATTGAATACTAGTATCAGTGAAAGAAGAGAGGAAAGAGAGAAGTATCTCAATAGATTAATTCCATATATGTGCATTTATAATGAGACAAATAACATGGAGAAATTCTATAATTATTAGTAGTTGATGGATAATGTGTTCAAATTTCCATTCAATGTTACCTCTATCGTGCAGCCACTCAGAGCATCCCATTTTCAATGCTGTTTTAAGTTCATTCAAAGCCATGTGACGCGAAACCTACGCCGCTTTTATTTCAAAATAACATCTTACATCTCAGATCAACAACCATTTTCCTCATGTATATTTCAAATATAATGATAGCTGCTATGTTGTATCCACAAGCTATCAATGCTCAGTCTCATTATAGAATGATGCTGCTCTATTTTTTATAATGTATAAATTCAATGTCTTCTGCTTCTTCAAAGCATTTTCTTTGCTTTCCCTGATACTGTTTTTACTGTTTTCACATACAATTATTTGCACTGCTTCTTTTCAGTCTCTTTTATGTTAGTTACTTTCTCCACCTCCTCTTTTAATATAATGACATGTTTGTAAAAGGCGTACTTTGATTAACAGCTAGCACTATTCTAAATACAGTTTATATTGGTTGCTTATATAGGCATGCTTGTGAAACAGCTCCTTTGCCCAAAAGACTTCCATATTGTAGGCAGCCATTCCGTTGACCAGTAAGCGTATTCAATCATAAGCGCCGCCCTTTAAATTGTTTGATCTACCACTACAAAACTTGCATGAATTGGCGACAGCGTTTTAGAGCTTCGTTCCTGACTGGATACAAATAAATTTTAGCGTCATTTTTCTGCCAAACTGTCAATTGGTTGGCTTCAACCTTCGGTCATCAATTGGTCAAACCCGGGCGGTTAGAACGGGGCGCCTAAAAAAACGGCTTGGCAGAAGTAACAATTTCTAGCTTCGTCTCATCAATAGAAAGCAGCACAAAACTTTCAATCCTTTCAAAGGCACGACTGACGGGTGGTTTAGAAACTGTTTGAGACATGACTGCTAAATTATCCCTTGCTTATCTTTATGTGCGGTCCACATTCTCTGGCAGCCGATCTTGTCTGTCTTTACGTTCTGCTGTACCACAGTATTCGCAACGATTTAATGGAACTCAGAGAATGACGTTCTCCCAACTAATGCCTCCCCTCACATTTCCAAGCTCTGGATTTGACTTGACTGATGCCTCCGAAAATATTGAAGAAGAAACCCTTCCGGCGTATAAAGCAGAGAAGTATTACCCAGCTCGAATAGGCGAAATTTTCAATGACAGGTATCAAATTGTCGGGAAACTAGGATATGGAGTGACATCGACTGTATGGCTCTGTCGTGATCTACAGTGCGTACATTTATTTATCATGTTGTTACCGTCCAGAATAAGTCTAATATGTTAACTTCACTTTCACTAACTAGTGAGCCTCGACATGTTGTACTGAAGCTTTGTGTTTCCTCATCAAAGCCGAACCATGAGATTAGAATATACCGCCATCTCAATTCTGTTCAGTCTCAATCTGACCATCCCGGCAAAAATCTCTTTCGACAACTATATGACTCATTTGAAGTGACTGGCCCAGATGGCACTCACGTGTGCCTTGTTCAACAACCATTGGGATTGAGTTTGGAACAGATGCTTGACCTTCGGCCTACTGAGACTCTGGCTATACAACTTTTGAAACCTCCATTACGACAAATTCTGGGAGGGCTTGACTTTCTACATTCAGCCAACATTGTGCATACAGATCTCCAATTCAGAAACATGCTTCTTGAGATTGATGATTCTAACGTGTTCTCAGTATTTGAAGAGGCTGAGTTGAAACATCCCGCGCCGAGAAAGGTCCTCAGTGATCGCATCATTTACAACAGCCGGCGGATTCCCCGCACACAGTGCCTTCCTATCATAACAGATTTTGGCGAGGCCAGATTCGGTGATGAAGATCACAGAGGACAAGATATTATGCCAGATGTTTACAGAGCATCAGAGGTTATTCTCAAGATGAATTGAGACAATAAAGTTGATATTTGAAGCATTGCCATGGTGGTCAGTGACAATTACCTTTCATTATATTTTGACGGGTTGAATTGACATGTCTTCAATTACTATTCGGTCAGTTTTGGGACCTTGTACCTGGGCGTACCCTCTTCCAAGCCAGGAATGATCAGCGGCTTCTGGATGATACACTCCACCTTGCAGAGATGATTGCTATCATGGGACCTCCTCCCAGAGAGTTTTTGGAACGAAGTGAGATGAGTTCTATATGGTGGGATCAGAATGGTATGTGAATACCTGTTCAAATCTACAGCGTGGTGGACCTCATATTTTCTGCTAACATTGACAAAACATTCAAGGTCAATGGAGAGGTTTTGCACCCATCCCTGACATCTCCCTTGAAAGACTTGCAGAGGATCTTGAGGGAGATAACAAAAATGGATTTTTGAAGTTTCTTCAAAGGATTCTATGCTGGATGCCTGGGGGAAGGCCAACTGCGGAAGAGCTCGTATTTGACCCCTGGTTGATGGAGGGGCTTAATTTAAGGAAAACTATCTAGCCCAAGAAAACTTTCTTTTCGGGCGGAAGTGGGATCTCAATCCTCAAACATGACCCGATCAGGTGATGATGACGATGCCGTAGCGGGAGCCATGGGTAGTAATTGTAGCCGAATCAATCAGAAGCTAGTTCAAAGCCCCCACCAGAATATTAGTTTTTGCAGCCCTATTTCTAAAAATTTCTTTTTGCTGGGGCCAGCGCTTGTGCATGCCAGGGCACATGCGCATAGCAAGGCAGCCAAGTTCATGCAGGCCTAAATGACAAGATCCTTTCTCATGCTTGCAGGAGAATCTTCCATTGCCAGTCTGGAAAACCTCTTCAGCGTTTACAAGTTGTTGAGAAAGCCAAGAGCAGCTGGAGGAAGAAAGGCAGCGAATCAGCTGCCCAACGACTGAGTTTTGGAGGACATGACAGGAAGAATCAGCCTTGTGTTTGCTACAATACGAAGAGGGAATCGGAGTGGGAGAAAAATTGACCGTTCTGAGGGGCGTTGCCTGAGCACTTGAGCATTAGTTGCGGGGCGCTATTCCCAACCCTACCAGTCGCATGACATGAGTGGCACTCTCAGGTTCGACCAGCAACCTTCTTGCAACATGTTGCGGCTTTTCCATGCCGTTCGCAATTTTACAGAAATCCTTTCTATATGTGTACTAGCGGTGACATTAACTATGAAAGGCATTAAATCGTCCATTTCTCGGCTCATTCAGTACAGAGCGAGAAAGACATCATTTTTGGAGGGGCATGGGGCACTCCGGCGCTCCTTGGGCAGTTTCCTCCTAGGCGCTAGACTAGGCCCAACATGTAAATAACCTAGACATTTGATGTTGTTGGCCGGAGGCTGCGTATCACAGAATAGAGCACTGCACATATATGCCTCAGCTGCCGACATGCTAATACAACCACTTAGACGTCCCACAGATGTAACTCTTTTATCCCTATAATGGTTAATAACAGTTCACTACAAGGCTCTCTAGGGCACGAAGCAGGGCTGCGAAGACATGGCAGGTTGGGTGGGGTACATGTACTGTACATTGTACCCAACTAGACTTTGGTCAATCGGGTAACCCGCAACTGGAACGCGGCCCCCCTGGATCTTCGATCTTGGAATCTGTTCAAGATTTTCACCATGCCACAACAACACCGACAACAACAACTCAACGTCATTGCCCTGATATCTGGCGGCAAAGACTCTCTCTACACCATCCTACACTGTCTTAAAAATGGACACAAGGTTGTTGCGCTCGCGAACCTCCATCCGTCTCTGCAGCCACAACGCAGCTCTAATTATGCTACATACCTAACGGCGGGGTCGTTGCGATGCGACGACCGGGATGGGGATGTTGTCCAAAAGGGTAGAGCCGGCGAGGAGGGAAGTAACGGAGATGGACCGGTTGGCCAATTGGGGAAAGAAGAGGAGGAGGAGGACGACGACGACGTCGTCGTAGTAGAAGAAGAAGACCTCCACAGTTACATGTACCAAACAGTCGGCCACAGTATAATCCCCCTGTACCAATCCGCCCTAGACATCCCGCTCTACCGTGCCCCAATCCACGGCACAGCCATCAACACATCGCGCGACTATCAGGAACCTCCTCCACCGTCATCATCATCAACATCATCAACAGCAGCAGCAGCAGCAGCAGCAGCAGCAGCAGCAGCAGCAGCAGCAGCAGCAGCAGCAGCAGCAGCAACAGACGAAACAGAATCTATCTTCCACCTCCTCCAACAGATACTAACGGTCCACCCAACTGCCAACGCCGTCTGCGCCGGCGCCATCCTCTCCACCTACCAGCGTACGCGAGTCGAGAACGTCGCCAGCCGTCTGGGATTGACCACCCTGGCCTGGCTGTGGATGTACCCAACCCTTCCACCGCCAACGGAACGTGAGTTGGTCCCGCCTCGCTCCCCCGCAGCCATCGCGGGATTGTTAGAGGATATGGCCGCGTGCGGCTGTGAGGCGCGGATTATTAAGATTGCTAGTGGCGGGCTGGATGTGGAAGATTTGTGGGGGGATGTTACGGGGAAAGCAGACGGGGGCGGCGATGTGACCAGGAGGAAGTTGGTGAAGGGGATGGGGAGGTTTGTTGGGGAAGGGGAGCTGGAGGGGGCGGTTTTGGGCGAGGGTGGGGAGTATGAGACTATTGCGCTGGATGGGCCGGGGGTTTTGTGGAAGAGTAGGATTGTTGTTGAGAGGATTGAAAGGAGGGTAGGAGAGGGGGGTGTGGCTACTACGAGGATTAGGGGGGCCAGGTGTGTGCGGAAGGACGGGAACGGGGATGGTGGCGGACTAGGGCTGGTGAGAGTGCCGCAGCTGTTTGATGCTGGGTTTAAGAGGCTCTTGGATGAAATGATTTTGTGCAGGTGGAAGTATGAGGATGTCGGAGCAGAGCTCCAAGATCACCAGTCACATGGTGACAGTGATGGTAATGAAAGCTGGAAGGTGGCTGTATCCCAAATCAAGGGAGAAAATATCTGGACTATCTCAAACGTCTCTGCCCCTGAAATTGGCTTGGGGGCGGGGAATCAGATGGCAGCTATTGCACGAAAGCTCAAGTTGATCTTACAAGCTACCGCCATGGCTGCTGAAAACACACCCACCCCAACGACTGCGGACATCATCTTCACTACCCTCCTCCTACGATCAATGGACGACTTCGCTTTGATAAACCCTATCTACGCCTCTCTATTTACTAAACCGAACCCCCCCGCTAGAGTGACCGTGGCATGCGGGGATACCATGCCGCCCGACGTGGACGTCCTCGCGTCCTTCGTCGTAGACATGCTTCCACGCGAATGTAGATTGGGTCTACATGTCCAGTCACGCTCTTACTGGGCTCCCGCGAATATAGGGCCGTATTCGCAAGCGCAATGCATTCCGCTAAACAAGAATACAAAGATTGATCGCGATGGCGGGCTAATTTATATTGCGGGGCAGATACCCCTGGAACCTGGGTCAATGCAGGTATATAATCCTCCACCAGGTGAGGAGACTATTGGCTGTCCCTTTGTGTCTCGCTTGGTCTTAGCGTTACAGCATCTATGGCGGATTGGGAGAGCCATGGAGGCGGATTGGTGGTTGGGCGCTGTGGCGTTTCTAGCTGGAGATGAGAATATCTTTGCAAAAGCCAAGGCTGCGTGGGATATCTGGGAGCATATGAACCGCGATCCATCGTCCCTGACGGCTGGGGCCAAGGAAGGTGATGGAAATGATGATGAGACGCCAGAATTCGATTGCTGGGATATCAAGTACGGAAACCAGCGGAATTTAGGGAACCTTTCCTCATCGAAGGGCGTGAGGAAAAGTCTGCCAAATTTCGATGTGGTCAGGGGATCTGTTTGCACGCCGCCATTCTTCGCAGTACAGGTCGCTGCGTTGCCACGCGCAGTTGATATTGAATGGCAGGGTCTAGGGACAAGGTCTAATCTCCTGACCACGTCCGAAGAAACACAAATCAATAATAGGCCATGGACATTGGAGCATTCACAAGGTGCCGGTGTGGGGTCGTTCTACTATATGGGAATTCAAAACGGGGATGCACAGCCCACCCAGGATGATTTGGAAGCGCATATACATGACGCGATAGAATTCGTGAAAGCAAGAGAAATTGATATGCATGGTGAGAATATTGATCATGTTTACTCGACAGTATATACGTCTTACCGTCTGAGAGGCAGTTTTTGGCAGATGGGACAGATTGTGCCCTGTAAGTCTGTCTGGGGCTCAAAGGGTTCGAGGCTTGCTGCTGGTATTGTTGTTCATGTCCGCTTAAGGGGGTGAAAATCTCAGTCTGTTATCTCGCTCATTGAGCATGATGATATTTGAATTGCTTTATGATAATTTTTCAAAACAATAAATTTAATACTGGTTTACCAGCAATATATTGGAGTTTGATGGTTATATATTTTGGAGACTTGAAGCTTCTAAAAAATATAGCAATATTGGTAGTTATATGAATAGTAAAATGAGAAACTTGCAGTAGCATGTATGGTGCCGATTTATGTCGTACGTATTTATGGAGTAACGTGACCAACCACCCAACGCCCGCGTACACCCAACGCCCGCCATTTCGCCACCACTATGATGAAATATTTTCAACGTTATCTCAACAACGCAATTAGATCTTAAGATGATATATTATATGATGGAAATATAGATAGAAAATTACATATAAAAATATATAGCTAATTCAGTAAACGTTTATTTGGCTTAATAAGTCGTCCGGAACGTGAAATCTTGGGTGGAGGCAGATTCAGCGAGCAAGCAGTCATTGAATCAGTAGAGATTGCAATATCATCATACCCCTCTGGCAGCGGATCCGTGGGCACCCTGGCAGAGCTCTGAAAATGCGATTTAGCCACTCTTTGCGAAATCGAGGGTCTACTTTCCCGATTAGGAGGGTGATTTTTGGATTCTTCAACCATCTCCTTATTCAATCGTGATTGCTGCTGTATAGCAGCTTGTTCTTCCTTCTCTTTTGCTCTTGGGCCTTTCTTGCATCTCTAAGCTCCTTGTCAATCTGCCGTTGAGCGGCTCTTGCAGCCTTATCCATCTCCTTTTGCTGCTTTGCAGCCTGGCGAGCAGCCTCCCGCTCCATCCTCTGCTTCATGATATCTGCCTCCTTCTGTTCCTTAAGAATGGTGTGTTGCAACTTGGCATCCTTCTTACAAGTCTGTTCATCCTTTTTGGCAGCCTCAGAAGCTGTCATATTCTCATGCATGCTCTGCATCTTTGCCGGCGAGAAGAACTGTGCCAATGATGGATTTGAAGAATCTAGCAACCCCATTGCTCTGCCACACTTGTGATGTCATTTTTCTTGATTAAGAGTCTGTTGTAGCTGCCTGTTCTTTATTAGAAGAACCTCTTTATCAAGAGCTAGATTTTCCCCTGCACAGATCACTCAGTTGAGATCATTAGAAATTCAATGCTGCAAATTGAGATAAATTAGTGAGATAAAAGCATAAACGCAGTAGAAGAAAGCAATCTATTACAAGATCAAAATAATGCTTGAAGTATGCAGAGTTGTCTGCAATCTTGCGTTTTTGGTCGATATTTCATAGGTAGAGAGACTTGATTACATTCTTGTGGTGTTTGCAGAACCGCAGCATTCAGTTGACTTCAACAGGTGCTTTTAGAATCTCAACAATGAGATTATGAAGGATTTGGGGCGTACAAGGGAAACCGCGATCTGCCAATCGATTGATATGAAAAAGAAGTCGTTTTTCTTGCAAATCTGTGAGGATTTTGCAGTGGATAGAGCTTGCTTCCTTTCTTGACACCTGAACGCCTCTATAACGCCGTGAGAGCGTATATCGGCTGATTCTATATTTTTTGGCAGTCTCAGTGTAATTAGGGTTCAATTGCGCGTTCAAATCATCAATTGCAGCTTGTATAACTGCTTCGTGGTGCATTTTGTGGGTGTTCAAAGATGGGTGAAAAATGAAGAATTGGGCGGGCGTTGGGTGTACGCGGGCGTTGGGTGGTTGGTCACGTTAGATGATGACGATTCATATCAAAAACATGTGATTTAGATGTTGGCATAAATATTTCCAAGCCTCATCTGCCCGCAAATTTTCCCGCAACGAATGTCTTTTCCGTCCACAACAAATTGCTGCACACGGCTCATGGGGTAATAGAAGCGCTAGTTACACATAAAAGAAAAGAAGCGATAAAAAGAAAAAAATACGCGACTGGTTTCTGCGAGAGTTCTAATTTGACACCCCGGTTTCTCTAGACGTCCGTACAGAGCCTAGGTCAATTATGGAGAGAGGGTGAAGACACCTGGCAATTCCGAGTCTCGATCAGAATGATATGGCAACCCAAGATGCCCGCAGAGGCAATGGCGAAAGCCTTGATAGCCATGAGCCCTTGCTAATAGCCCCTTCGTTGCTAAACTCGCGGCGGCAACTTTCACGATCGCCTCGCCCTTACTCTCGGCGCGGATCCAGCCTCATCACGCCGATGGACAATGTTGAATCTGGTAACTATACTACCTCACGGGGAAAATCGTCTATAACATCTAGCGAAAGCGGGACGGAGGCAGACGATGAGAGCACAGGCTTTCTGAAAGGCCTACCGGCGCCTCAAATACGACCAAGACAAACCCTGAGTCTAGGAAAGTGGAATGCCCAAGGGAAGCGTGAAGGGCTGACGGGAGAGAGGTTATGGTCCGCCTTCCGGAGGTCGAGGTTAGTGTCTTCGAGGAGTGATTCAAGCGAAGATGCGTGTAGAGATGAGATAGATGTCCGGGAAGAGGTGGCCAGGCGGAACCGGAGTGAAGTTCTACGGAGATTGTTTGAGACAGGCTTGGTACTTGTTGTAGGCGTGGTGGTATATTTTCGGAAGGATGTAAGATATTCTGCCAGAGCTTGGAATGGAGGTACGTATCAGTCCCTGATTTTGACAGGTGCCTAGGTGCTGATATTTTGTGTTTGTTACTCGTTTAGAGCTTTCTACATTTTCGATTACTATTCTTGTACTTTATTTGATATATCCCTTTCAAATCACCACGTATGGTTTCCGACGGCGCCGCTGGAAAGCTATTGTGGCCTTCCCATTCTCGACCAACCTCGATCCTGCTCCTCTAATATACCCTGTTCTCCTCCCTGTGCTGATTGCGTTATCCCTGATACGCAACCACCAGGTGTCAATATTACCAAATATAATACTTGGCCTCTCCTCGATACCTTCTCCTGTTATACCTTTCTACACTATACGGCATGGTTTTGTTATAACACACTGGGCCATCACAATTCTGCCGGTTATCACCTCGAATATCCGTCCACGAAGCTCAGAGCCCTTCCAGGGACTTAACCCGGAGCTCCTGCTCCTTATTTTCCCCTTACACCAAGCGCTTGTAACAACATTGCATTTTTTTTTCCACACCAGCCTTATTTGCATACCGAATTGCAACTCCTTGCTACTGGGCTCCTTAACATCCTGTTCTTCCCCTAAATTCATCCCCAAGGGGAAATTCTGACCGCCGCTACTGTGGCTTGTCGGGGTCTGGTATGCTTTTCCCATGGCCAGATGTCCTTCGTGGGAAGTCTTTTGACTAAAATACCTGCTTGGAATTTTCGTCGGTCACCTAGGAGGGATGACCGGCGGGGGGGTTATCTTAAGATGCTTGATCATAACATCTGCTACAGCCTTTGCCATGTTGGTCATGGCGGTGGGGCGTTGTCTGATAGTGACGTCCCTGTCAGTGGGTTTTCAATGATAAGGGGCGGCAAGGACAACCAAGGTCACAACATCTTTATGCAACGCAATGTCTCTAAGATATCCGATGATCGAGCCGCGACTCCTCACATTGACCCTGCTCTATTGGACAACATGCAATCAAATTATGAAATTCTACCGCAAGAAGTCCCTGTGAATGCCCAATCGAAAAGTGCCCACAGCCACCGTCGTCAACCATCGGTTTTTGCCAATGGCGATGTAGATGAGAATGTTAAAACTACACCTGGTGGCCGACGTAGACGATTAATGACGCCGAACCTCCAATCATTCCTTTCTCTTACAGCTGCTCAGGCTCAAGTGCGGAAGTGGGCATATGCACTATATACCTATGCTGCGACATTATTTATAATCCTGGTGCCAGTGAGAAAATATGTTGGGCAGAATGCGCTGCATGGAAATGAGCCTTTCGGGTGGGCAATTGGATATCTGTTTGGCAATATCCCATCCGTCAGGTTTCAGATTGTGAAAAATAACCTAGAGAATTGGGTGCGAATACCTCCTTTACACGATACGGAAATGGACAACAAATCATGCCATCTGGGATGGGTGGATCATCTCCGGCGAGATACTCTCGGAGAGGCTAATGCCCGCCTCCTGATCGCCTGTTATTGTGCTCTCGTTATCGTGGTGGGATTGGGCTTGGTGATTCGTCTCAGCGGTGCCGTTGAAGTAGACACTCGGCGCAAAGTTTTCCATGGAATGATGGTCCTGATGTTTCTGCCAACCACCTTCATTGACCCGACATTTACAGCACTCGCTCTGGCTCTCATTCTGGCCATTTTCCTCCTGTTAGATCTGTTTCGAGCCTCGCAGCTACCACCCATCTCGAACCCGCTTACATACTTCCTTGCTCCCTATGTTGATGGCCGCGACCATCGCGGCCCCATCATCGTTTCCCACATCTTCCTCCTCATTGGTTGTGCCATCCCACTCTGGCTTTCTCTTGCTGGGATCCCTCGCACTGGTAGCCCGCCCTGGGAGGGATGGGACGTGGAGACACGCGATCTCAGCATGGTCAGCGGAGTTATATGTGTTGGTATGGGTGATGCTGCAGCGTCTCTGGTAGGGCGACGATATGGCCGACATAAGTGGTTCTGGGGTGGCGGAAAGAGTGTTGAAGGTAGTATGGCATTTGCAGTCGTCGTTTTTGTGGGGATACTAATGGCACGCCTTTGGTTTATTGTTGGGGGGTGGGATCATTCTGTTTCCGTTCCGATATCTCGGGCGATATCCCCATCCTGGCCAACCATGGTGACATCGAAGGGTTGGGCTGTCGTCGTCGGTAAATCTATTCTTGCAGCGCTAGTGTCAAGCTCCATGGAGGCAGTGTTAACGGGCGGGAATGATAATATTGTAGTGCCGTTAGTTTTGTGGTTGCTTGTTCGAGGATTGGGTTTGTAGATTGCCGTTTCGCAGTTTCCCCCCTTCAAATCGCGTCTCCTTTAAGGGAGGCAGCTATCATATTCCATCTCCATTCGGCCCGTCTCGGCGTATAATGCTATTTCAACTACTTGTGCTGTACATACAACACATTGGCCTCAATGATGAGGGACAATTTTACTACTCTAACAAGAAAGAAAGGTGCGGGAATATTATTCAAAACCATGAGGGTATAGCTCCAACGTTGACTTCCCCAACTGGCCTATCTACCCAATATATTAAACCCTTGGGATCTTGCCGAGGCAAGGGTTTCCACTTCTGGTCGCCTAACGCGCCAAGCTCGCAGTTTTGAACACTTCCTTGCTAGCATAAAGTTCTTCCCACCATCAATCATAATACTATGAAAAGGGTGCTTTATGGGAGACTGACCAGAGCGCGTAGCCAATGGAATTTGGGAAGTGTGGTTATTACGCAGCTTCGAACTTGTTCGAATCAGGATTGCAAGGTGTGAGTGTATCTGCGCCCGACATATCTCACGCTCCTGGGTAACCTGACATTGCGAATGAACTACCCCTTCGTATTCTGCATGCCTAGGCATGAAGGAGCTTTACCCGCATGGATCGTGGAAGAACTGATCTAAATATAATTAATTGGATACGAGAGGACTACAATAGCGCGATCAATTTTGCTGGTTGTAGTTCCTCTGACTGGCCATCGTTCTCTGGTTTATCCGGTTTGTTGAGCGCTCCATCAAACTCAAACGGCGCCGGTTGATCCGACGACAAGCACAATATACACTATGTCCCTCAGTGGAATTATATTTTCCATATTTCAACTAATCTGTTCCTAAGCACCACGGGAATCTGTACAGATTTACCAGCTCGATTATCAGATTCTTCGCATGAGGCCTCCTCGTTCCCGAAAATGGGAACATTCTACGAAACTATCATCGACGAATGCTCGCGGTGCCCAAAATCCTATACCAGCTACTTTATTTGGAATGGAGCCGCTCCCATCCTTTCTATCTAGAGAAATTTGCGGAAA